TGTATTTTTTAAAAAAGAAGGAAAGTTTTACCTATAATTCATAGTTTGAGTTTAAATTTGGATTAATATTCTACCATGCCACTTAATAGCAGTGTAAACATAGGCAAGATGTGTACATCATTTAAGGCTTGATGTTCTCATTTATAAAATGGGGATAATATAACAACCTACTCCTTTTGACCATTGTATTAAATAAGATATCGCATGTATAGAGCTTAGCATAGTGCCTGATACATGATAAATGCCTAATATTGGCAAAAATGTTATTGTTATTATTACTATTATCACTGCCATCATAAATTTAAATGAGTTATTACTTTATTAAATGGAAATTTACAGAGTAGTATTCATGCAAAAGTATATATTTTTTTATTAAGGAAACATTTTCAGGTTAAATGAGTGTTTGCTGTTATGGTAAGAGCCTCCAGTCTCTTGGCTTGCTGCTCTGCAGTTAGATTCTCTGAGACCTTCACTGTAAGAAGTTTCCACTGCAGACTGCATGCATTGTGCCCTGCCACCCAGCCCACCCAAACAACAGGAGGGTCAAGAAAACTTTTCAGAGCATACTGCACAACATGCCTCTCTGCTAAACCATCTTCCCACAATGCTTTCTCCTTCTTATCTAGCTAGTAGAGTCTATCAGGGGATGCTGATATCGTCCCAACATGTAATCATTTTCTTTGGTTCTTGTAGCAAAGACAGGCAAAAGGAATAGACAAAGTGTTGAATGAAAGACCATATTTAAAAATTTTTTCCACATTCAAATAGATTTCCAGTTTCTCTGTACATTGTTTTTCTGCCCCACCACTCTCTTTTGACTCAAGTGGAAATGTCACATACATATTTCTGGCCGTACAAGGAAAAATATTTTTTCTACATTTAATAGATCAATGCTCCATGAGATAAACGTGTTATGTAAACAATAAGAAGAAAATCTCTCCTAATCTTAGCACTTCTGCACTGTATTATAGTTACATAACTGGTTACTAAACAGACTGAACTCCACTGTACAGTTTATGCACAAAACAGTTGAATTCTTCTCCCACCATTGCTCTCTAATATGCTCCATGTGATCTCCAGCCTCAGCCCCAACTATATCTCAAGCACTTTAGGTACTAGAGCTATCTCATTTTCAGGTATTAAAAAAATTCCAGTTTAATTTAAATAAAACTTTTAATCTCATATCCAATTCCATGCTGTCTCCTATCCCAGCACAGGCCTCATCCAAGAGCTGTGATCTGTCTTTCCCTCCTTCTTTCTACTTCTTCCCCTTTTTCTTCCAACTGTTGGTCTGGCACTTCCTAGGCCAGACAAGGAGAAGGGAGAAACTACTTAGGTGGTGCGCTTTGCGTTTCTCACATGGGTGTTGAATGC